ACCATCCAAAAAAATAGTTTTTTGTACTATACCTCTTCGCTTCTCCAGCTTGGGTGGAATCTCCAAAAAAAACTCTTTTCTGAGGACGAATCCTGTTCCTCTTCTTCTCTTTCGTCATCACTCTCAAGGTCTGACATGTAATCAGCATGGAGAATACTGTCAACATTCTCTCCAAAGCTGTTCACAAAGTGTGCCCGATTGGCTTTCAAGGCAGATTGTCTTCTTTCACACAACTATATATAAATATATAATATTTCTAATTTAATATCACATCTAGTATATTGTGTGCGTGTGTTTTTTACCTTTACACGTCGCTGACGAAGACAGGCCCGTCGATTCTCTTCCTGCTTCTTTTCTCCTGTTTTTTTTTCTTGCAACTTTCTGTTGCCAATGTGCTGCACAATCTTAGTTCGAAGAGTTGGCAAGTCCACCTTTTTCCCCTCTTCTTGACGACGAAGGTAATCAGTAACAGACTTCAGAACGAGTCTGTTTCCCTCACTGTTTTTATTTTCATTGGTATTGTATTGGTCATACAATTTCTCTTCACTCAAATAATCGCGCAACAATTGCTATAATATAATTGTATATTAAATTCTATCTACATAAAAACATATTATGATTACTTACATCCAATGTTGGTTGACGTCCAGGCGACATGTCTTGCTCAACTGCATTACTAGCAGTGGCTTTGGCTTTCTCAGAAGATGTGTTCTTCAAAACAGTGTTTAAGACACCATTCATGGTATCAAGTTTCTCGTACACATCATGGATGTTATGAGTTCTACCCAATGAATCACCTTCAAGATTCAACCGAGCTCTCTTTGGTGCTAGTGGTCTTTGATTGCTTACTGTTCCCTGTGAGTGTTGCAACATTATCGTCCTTATATCATTGGTATTTCTTGGTGGGCTTTTTTTTGATTTTTATAAAAGACGAAAATAAAATTAATATAAGAAAATTGAAGACTGCCTGGTTTTAATCTACCTTCCCACAGAAGGTTCTTCACCAAAAGCATTGTTAACTGAATTGTTATTGAGATTTCTTGATATTGTAAATAATAAGAATAGCTTGTTTTTTTTTAAATCCAAAGGGTCTATTTATATTATGTTTAATTTGGGCTTTAAGTTTTATTCTTTCTCAGAGAACACCATGATCTATTACGTAACAAGAACAGTTTTGAATGTTTCCACTCTTGTTGTGAGTATTTTATGTGTTTTTTTAATTTAATTTTCAATCCATGTTTTATTCTTATATTATGTATTAGTATTTGAATAATATGATTTTATACTATACTCTGTTTTTCATATGTATTAGCTGCTGGCATAGTACAACTGCGTTTTCTTTCAATTCTAAGTTACAGACAAAAATTATTTTTTGATTTATTTATTTTTAAAAAAAAACCCCAAATTCATATTTAATAGAATAACCGCGCCCCTCTTTTTTATTTTCTCTTTCTTTAACCTGCTCTTCTCATTTTGTCTCTTTTTATATGTCTTGGTAAGCTTACTCTTAAGATCTCAACTTTTATTAATACTTTTGGCTTTTAGAATCATCTTAATATATATTAGATAAACAATACACTCAACAAGCATTCAAAACAGTACAGGTAATAAACAATCTCCTAACTAAAATGAAACACCTTGCTGACTAAATATTTTTTATTTTTAAAATGATAGGGCTTCTATCTATTTTGTAATAAAAGATATTTTGCTCTTGACACTATATACTTTCTGGTATTTTCAGTCTATGAAAAGGTAATATATATATAACTCAACTTAAATAATATAACTTATCAATTCTTCTTCCCAGATAAATATATCATGCCTTTTTTTCAAGTCATACTGGTTTGCCCCCTTTTGCAAACACGTGTCTATAATATGTAAGTAATTCAAGTGTCTTTACAATCAAAGCGTACATATTAATAAAGTTGTTTATTTTATTTCTTACTTTTTATTTAAAAGAAAATATCAATCAAATGGATTTTTATTCTATCGCGAGATTTGTTATGAACCCCCATAAATGATCTAGTAAGTATGTTATTTCATTTTATTTCATAAAGAAATCTGTATTAATACTTCTGTATCTTTTTTTGCTCTAAGCTAATGTAGTTCCAAACAAACGTATTCTCCAAGAAAATACCAAGGATTTCATTTTCAGTTAAAGAAGTGTAAAACCAAAAAACGCGCCGAATACATGAAACTGATAAGGTAGGGAAGTATAGTATAAGTTAGGTCATCCAATGTATTCAAGCCGTCCAATAAATGAAAGTATAACATGTATACAAGTTGTACTATTTGGATACACACTTTTAAAGAAGTATTAGTGGTCCATATTAAATAGCTAAATATATTTTCCAATCATTCAAAAATCAATAAAAACCATTTTTTCCATGAGATTCTATTTCAAATGCGTCATCTCTTGATGATGTCAACAAGATCTATTTAAGTTTTTTTTTACAATCATTCATTTGAATGCTGGTTCCTGTCAGATTTCAGACTGATTCTAGGTCAATTTTAGTGAGGTCTATCCAATAATATCATGTAATTAAAGCAAATAAAATTTTTTAAGAGGTAGAGAGTTCAAAGCCAATTCCATAACAAGTAGGGTTTAGGTACGGTTTGAAGTTATGAGTGAATATATAACCAGAATTACAGACAATTATAACATTTCAAGAAAAGGGGAATTATAACTCTCAATTTATCTATTGATTTTAGTATCTATAATCTCATTATTTGGTTAACTAAATGAACCAATTTTTGTAACAAATACCGAACTATAATTGAACATAAACCACCGATTTTTGGAGGATTTAAACAAAAATTAAGCTACTTAAATCGGTTGTCTTTTGCAGTGATACACTCATTATTTCTATTCAAATATAATTGATAGACTAAAAAGGTTTATTATTACTCAGTGAAACAATACTTACTTCATGATCTCAAACTTATATCTATCTGGTATAAGTATACTAGATATCTCATAGGTAACATCTCTAAAATCACATAGAAATTGCGGCTTTAAACTCAATATTTGTATACTTTCTATTTAATGAAATAATATAATTTTTGTAGTGATATTCAAAGCTGATGAAATCTTCTAATATAAATATATATATTAAATAAAGAAAAAGAGCAGAAAATAAAAACATGATTTTTCTTAAAATAGAAAATCCTTTTTAACTAACAAGAGCACAGCATCTCATTAACAAATTGTTGACATCAGCCTCTCATAACTAGGATGATATATCATAACAAACCACCTAAAAAACTTACCAAGCAGTCTCACCTCCCAGTGTCAGATATCACAACATTAGTTTGCGTTAACCTTTATACAAACATAACCAGTACCCAACCATCATGGGTTGATGGTGTAGTGGTTATCATTCTCCGTTTGGGTCGGAGAGGCCCCGGGTTCAAATCCCGGTCGACCCCTTTTGTTAAAATAATTGATTATTATTTTTTGTCAGATTGTCGGACATTATTTTGATGAATCCGAGAAATCGGGATAATTGACCGCAGCAGTTCTGTATGTCAAAGATACCTCATAGATAACAAACTGCAGTAATGTCTTGTAAAGATTAACCACAGTAACATCTTCTGAGCATCAACCGCAGTAAAAGGACTTCTCTTGTAATTAAATAGAGTATAATAGTTTACTGCGGATAATGCGCAGTATTAGTTTAGAAAACTATATAAGACGATTCAATTCCTATTGTGGTGATCCAGACACTTGGTTGTTGGATTTATTACATCTAAGAACATATTCCTATTATTATAGTAAAACAGCTATCATTACAAGAACAAATGAATAATTTATTTATTTTACTTATGGTAAATCAATAAGACCAATAATTAATTACAGTAAGTACTGTAATTATGACAGCTCAGTAAGCACTGAGTTAATATGAGGACACTGCAATTAGATTAAATTATAAACATAGCAGTACCAGCTCTCTAATATCTAAATGAACTCAGACTTAAGAAATTAAGATGTGACTGACAAAGCAGATCGTGTTTTGATATAAAAAGGACAACTTTGTATTCTTTAATAAAGACAACCTATATACAGTCTCAAAGTATTCTTATATACGTCTCAATCTTTTTACTGTTGATTTTATTCTATAAAACTTCACACCTATCAATAAAAAGCACCTTTTATCCTCTCTTCGATTTTACATATACTCTCCAATCCCCAGTGGGTTTGACCTTTTGACTTTGCTATAGTAAAAGGAAGACCATCCCAGATCAGGAATGATAATTGGTAGCTGAAGCTATTTTTCCTCTAACAAGACCTTTGATGAATCCGGTTGAAAGACACCAAGACATATTTGATAAGAAGACCCTTAGCCAATTCGAGATTGAAGAACGAGTCCAGGACTTGTTACCCAGTGAATTAGTAAATGGCTACAAGAAGAATTGGCGTGTTCCTCATATCTCTGAAGAACAGCGTATTAAGAAGACCCCTGCCCGAGAACAGAAGTGGACCGAACTAGCCACAAAACTAGCCACAACCTTAACAGGAAAGAACAAACAAGAACAAGAAGAAACAATGGCCCCCCAAACCGCCACTCTAACAGCCGAAGCAATTGCTGCTGCCGTTGCCGAAGCAATGAAAGCGATCACAGTGCAGCAGGAGGCCCATGCTGAACGAATCAAGCAACCTGATTGCTTCCATGGAGAACGTTCTGCCACAGTAGTGGATGGTTGGCTGTGCGCAGTCGAACGTTACACCAGATACTACAATTTTTCCACAACAAAAGCCTGTGAATTTGCAGTGAATCTGTTGTGTGACAGAGCAGACACATGGTGGAGACGCATGGAAGTAAAGGACAAACATCCAACAACCTGGGATGAGTTCAAGATGGCTCTGTCGGGAGAATTTCATCTAGTCTACTCACTACAGACGTCCAGGGACCGCCTTGCTCGACTATACCAAACAGGAACGGTCGCAGAGTACATCGACACGTTCCACAACATCCAGTTGGAGTTGCCTGGAATGAACGATGAAGAAGCCCTTGACAAGTTTGTCTGTGGACTTCACCCCACCATATGAGGAAATGTTCTTGCCGCCCAACCTGTTGACATTGACGATGCCTGCAACATCGCTTTGGCATATGCCAGTGGCCTCCACTTGGGGCAACAGAACAACTACGCACCTGTCCCCCAACTGTACCAACAGCCGTACCAACAGCCGTACCAACAGCAGTACAGTTGTCCCGAGCCCATGGACCTGGATGCGATTCAAGGTTGCCATAATAACTACCAATCTCGCCCCCCTCAGAAACGTAATATGGCTACTTGCCATTAGTGCGGCGAAGTTGGTCACTTCAAGAGGAACTGTAGGGATCGATTAGCAGCAATTAGACAGTTAGATGAGGCACGTAGCAAGAAGCAGGGTTTTCATGAAACACAACCGTAACAGGAGGTTGGTTGTGTTCAATAGAAGAAAAATCCTCCCCACAGGCTAATAATATTAGCGAAACTAGCGAACCAGAAATTAATAAAGACGTGTCTGAACAGTATACAAATGTTACCAATGAAGAGCCTGAGACTATGTCTGAAGAAAATTGTGACCCTTGTCTCACTGCTGACCAACATTTCTTAGAAGATCTCCATGCTGCCGTGGACACAGACTTGCCCTTATATGCCGCTATACTTGATGGACAACAAATCCTGGTGTTAATTGATAGTGGTGCTAGTGCAAACTATGTATCACTCCAGATCTCCCATTTGGCCACACACATTTTGGATATACCCGGACGATCAGTCGAAACTGCAGGAGGACACAGCATTAAGATCCATTGGAAGGCAACATTAAACCTCTCTTTAAATGGATACACTGACACCATCAATGCTTTTGTATTTCCCACTAAATTCGACTTGATTCTTGGTTGCACTTGGTTGCAAATGGCTAAACCCGTCCCAGATTGGCATGTTGATAGCTGGTCTTTACACTGTGATGAACAAGAATTTATTTTGCGTCCTCATGGGCCCCATCCTACTAAACCTCACCGAAACTATCTGATATCTGCAAAACAAATTGAGAAACTCTCTAGGAGAGAGGAGGCCAAATGCTTTTTGTTGCACATTAAGACAGAAAAAGAAATACATAATGATGAACACTGGATGAAATTAGTAAAAGAATTCGAGGACGTTTTCCAAGACGGTTTACCTGGATTACTGCCAAACCGTGACGTCCAACATGTTATAAACACTGGAGATGCCTACCCTGTCAATAAACCGCCATTCAAAATGAGCTCTCGAGAACTCGACGGATTACAGAAATGACTAAAGGAACTTCTAGACCTTGGCTTAATTTGTCTGAGTTCTTTGCCATGGGGTGCTCCAATTTTATTTGTTAAAAAGAAAAATGGTGAGATGCGCATGTGTGTTGATTACAGAGCCCTGAACAAAGTTACTATCTGCAATAACCATCCATTGCCACACATTGATGAGTGTTTGGAATGCCTTTGTGGAGCAAACCATTTCACTAGTTTGGACCTCAAAAGCGGTTACCATCAAGTGAGAATTCAAGACTCAGATGTGCCAAAAACTGCCTTTAACACCCGATATGGCCAATATGAGTTTCTGGTTCTTTTCTTTGGTCTCACCAATGCCCTACCAACGTTTCAGCATCTTATGAACAAAGTTCTTGGAGATTGTTTGGATAAGTTTGTCTTAGTCTATTTGGATGATATCCTAATCTTTAGCACGGCACCAGAAGAATATGAAGAACATGTACGACATGTGTTAAACCGACTATGTGAAGCGAAATTAATTGCCAACCTTAAAAAATGCGAATTTAACAAAAACGAACTAGTTTTCCTTAGATTCAACTTATCTGCGCAAGGCATCTTACCATCGCCAGACAAAGTAAAGACTATAAAAGAATGGACACCGCCAACAAATGTACAAGAAGTTAAACAATTTATTGGCCTTGCACAGCACTACTGCTGCTTCATCCCTGGGTTTGCTGGAATTGCTGCGCCCTTAACAGACTTAACTAAAGGGACAGGACCAAAACGACGGCCTATCATTTGGACGGAGATATGCCAGGAAAGTTTTGATTTACTAAAAGAGAAAATGAGTACTGCACCTGTATTACTTGCCCCAGACATGAATAAACCATTCCGCATTGAAACAGATGCTTCAGATTTTGGTGTTGGTGCCGTATTAATGCAAGAAGACGAAAACGGAAGTTGGAAACCATTAGCATTGGAATCGAAAAAACTCTCCCCTGCCGAAAGATCGTATCCTGCTCAAGAGCGTGAGTTACTCAGTATTCTACATGCCTTGCGTACTTGGCGCTGCATGATCGAAGGAAAACCGTTCACTGTATTCACCGATCACTTACCACTCAAGTATTTTCGCAGTCAGGTTAAGCCCACGCCTCACCTGATAAGGTAGATTTCTGAATTCGAGCTGTATGATCCGATAATTCAATACAAACCAGGCAAAGACAATGGTATCCCTGATGTGCTCTCTCGTCTCGATGGCCCAGAATGCGATGCAACATTAATTAAATCAATGGAACCTGAATACCTGTACACCATACCAGACTCACAAACGTCCGACTGGCCAAAATTTTATGCACGAAAAGAAGATGAATGGCCAGAAGACATAAAAGAATTACTCCATCAGCAACGCAATAAGTTTGTGGTCCACGACCAAAAGGTTTTCTATCTCATTAAAATAGGTGACACGGTACAAGAAATTCGTTTTGCACTGTTTGCCAAGCGTGCAGATTTAGTAAAAAATTTCCACAATGGTTTTGGACACGCTGGAGAAACAACGGTGTATGATTTAATGAAGAAGCGTTGGTGATGGCCAGCCATGAGAAGTCAAATTCAAGAATGGTTATCAAAATGTCCTCAATGTCAATTGGCCTCAAACGCAGAACGCAACATACATTATGCCCCTTTGGAACCATTGGATATCCCCCCTGCTTTCTCTTGTTGGCATCTCAATTTCATTGGAGAACTTCCCACTACAATGAAGGGAAATCGATAGATTTTGGTTGCCGTCAACTACGCTACGAATTGGCCAATTGCACGTGCTGTTCCTGCTGCTATGGGCAAAGCTATTGCCAAATTTTTTTATGAAGAAATAGTCATGCGTTTTGGTTGCCCAGACGAAATTCTGACAGATCGTGGTGCAAACTTTATGTCACATATTTTGAGCTTTTACATTAAGAAAATTAAGCTCCATCATAAATTAACCTCAGCATTTCACCCATGTACTAATGGAAAATGTGAAAGGTTAAATAGTGTTCTTAAACAGATGTTATGTAAATATGTACATGGTGCCATTCACCGGTGGGACAAATATCTGGAAACAGCACTTTGGGCTTGCCAAATCAGAAAGCATCGTACAACTGGGTTCAGTCCATTTTTCTTGACTTATGGCCACAAACCTCGTATTCCTGGCAATCCCCTATGTCCATTTATGGATACATCTATCCCTGACGACCCGACCCTCGTGTGGTGATCCAGACACTTGGATGTTGGATTTATCACATATAAGAACATATTCATATTGGGATAGCGTAGTAGCTATCATCTTGTCAGTATAAAATACATATAAACGATTAAGTAATCAGCCCAATAATTATTACAGTTAGTACTGTAGATGATATCTTAAAGATTGTTAAGATAATTATATCATACTGCCGGGTAAACTGTGTCAGATCGATATGGAGCTAATTTAGTAGGAAGTCCTAAAGCTCTAGTATAAAAGAGAAAAGAATAGCTAAGAGCTAAAGAAGTACGATTTATGACTTGATGTCATAATTCTAACACCGACACTAGTTAAGCAGTAAATATACTCTAATAACCAAATATAGTAAAGGAAGAAAGCCTTAAGAAACTAAGACGTAATAACAAGAGCAGATTGTGTTTTCTTATAAAAAGAGACACTTTTTATTTATGAATAAAGACAACTTATATACAGTCTCAAAGTATTTCTATATGTCTCTATTATAAAATATTTTATTTTTCTATTGTTTCATATCTGAAATACCACATGGATGACAGCTGGTCTGATATATATATAAGTAAATGACAGCTGATCTGGTATATATATAAATGGATGATAGCTGGTCTGCTATATATATAAGTGGATGACAGCCAGTCTGATATATATATAAGTAAATGACAGCTGATCTGATATATATATAAATGGATGATAGCCAGTCTGTTATATATATATGTGGATGACAGCTGATCTGCTATATATATAAGTGGATGATAGCTGGTCTGCTATATATATAAGTGGATGACAGTCGGTCTGATATATATATAAGTAAATGACAGCTGATCTGATATATATATAAGTGGATCACAGCCGGTTTGATATATATATAAGTGGATCACAGCCAATCTGATATATATATAAGCTGATGACAGGTGATCTGCACTATATATAAACATATGATATCCAATCTGATATATATATAAGCTGATGACAGGTGATCTGCACTATATATAAACATATGATATTCAATCTGATATATATATAAGTGGATAACAGTCAATCTCATACATATATAAGCTGAACACTGCCAATCTAGTATATATATAAATAAATGATATCTGATCTGATATATATGTAAATCAATAACAGTCAATCTGTATTTTATATATATATTTATCACATCTAATTTACTACTTATATAAGTTAATAAAATATAATATATAATTAATATTAGCCAATAACATTTGATTTATTACTAATATTAGCCTATAACATCTTGTCTATCTCTGATATTAGTCAATACCATTGGATCTATCACATTATATATATTCACACTTGTCAATATCCAAGTCATATCCAATCATCTTGTCAAATATAAGTTACATACTCTAATCATATTTAATCTTTAATTTTATATATATTTACAACTCTTTTATAATCTTTATATATAAATATACGTTATTAAACAACGGATATATTGTGGTGTTTATGGAAAATGCTTAAATATTGCTGCGAAGCTCAAGTGTTATTGCGTTGTGTTTTGGTTCTGAGCACCCCTGTTCGACCCTACGCGATAGCATTTTTTATTTCGATTTTTTTGCGTTGTTTTGTTGTTCCCGATCTGGGTTGGTCTTCCTTTTACTATAGTAAAGTCAAAAGGTCAAACCAACTGGGGATCAAGGAGTATATGTAAAATCAAAGATAGAATAAAAGATACTTTTTATGGATATAAATTGAATTGTCATATATAGTTTTCTAAACTAATACTGTGCATTATCTGCATTAGCTATTATGTTATATTTAAATAAAAGGAAAGTCATTATACTTTGGTTAATGCTCAGGAAGATATTACTGCGCATAAGGAGGTATTGTGGTTAATTATTTTCAGATTGTACGGATTTATCAAAATAATGTCTGACAGTTTTTTTTGTAATAAAACAACAGTATAATACTACTGTTATAAGTTTTCTTCTTTTAATAATTTGTTTATTAAATTAAAGAGATGTAAAGGAAAAGTCTGTTTACATATTAAGGGAAGGTTTATGATTGCTTGTTATAATAAGACTATTATAAAAGTTAAAATCTCAAGAAATGAAATATAAATAGAGATATTATAGTTCTAGAGTATATTTTTTATTATAGTATAGCAAACGAAAAAATTAATATAAAATAAACTATTTAGCTGAAGTATAAAATGAACATTTAGTTTTTTTTTTTTTTTAATTTTTTATTATTATTATTTTTGTTTTTTTTTATATTTTGGTTTTTATATTTTTTTCTTATTTTTTATTATTATTTTGTTTTTTATTTTATTTTTTATTATTTTATTTTTATTATTTTTTTATTATTTTTATTATTTTGTTTTTTATTTTTATTATTTTTGTTTTTTATTTATTTATATTTTATTTTAATGCTTTTATTATATTTATAATAAATTAGCATTTCAAAAAAATTGTGAATAAACATATTAATTTTTTTTAGATAAATTCTATTTTTTTTTAATATATATATATATATATATATGATATTCGGCTAGGGCGGAAATATTTGATTTATTTTAATTTTTACCCACCTGCGCACTATACCAAATCCCGGCGGCCATCTAATTGTAGCATAATTCAATCTCCGAAAAAATTCTAAAGACCGACAATACGCCTCTAATGCCACTTTTCTGTTACTCTTCTTTATTAGCTATCGATAGAGCCAAGAAGCATACAAATACAATCAGTAGAAGTCGAGAAAAGTAGAATTATATGAATTTTATTTTTTGAATAAATATTGATTTTTCAAAAAAAAATAATAATATTATAAATGCCGACTGAAACCGATATTTTTTATTTATTTATTTTTTTTTTGGTATCTTGCGTGCCCTTTAACCGAGGCGACAGATTGTTCAAATAATCTCAATTACAAGAGGTATATATATATATTTGATATTCTTTATATTTTTTGTGGAGAGGTTGAAAAGTTGTAAAAAAATATTTTCAATGCAGTCATTGGTGCAATGATTCCAGTTGAGGAATGAGGACGGGGGGTTGTTTTTTCAAGCAGAATAAACAAAAATAATACTTTTATTTATTTATTTATTTATTTATTTATTTATTTATTTTATTTTTCTTCTGTGTGCATCTCTTTCAATAACCATACATATTCACATTAACTTGCCATGAAATTTACAATTGAAATTACTACAATCATACACATGTGCACATGTACGCACACACGTATTTTACCAAGAACATCTCTAAAAATATATTATATTTGTTAAAAGCGCAATTTTTCACCAAGACCACAAGCAAGTTTTGATATGTACTAACTAGAAAACAATTACTCGCATTCTCTTTGTACGATAAAGCTACATTATTATGTTTTTTTTTGCATTATATAATTTCTATGCTAGCTGTTGTATATGCTGGAAAAATAGAGATAATCGATATATATACATATATATATATATTTGAAATGGTAAATAATAATAAGAGTTGGTGTGTGCAATAATGGTCACCGGTTTTCGTTTGTTGGTCTATACCTTGATCGAAAAATATACTTTTATTGTAATGGTTTACTACTCATAAGAAAAAAATAATAAGAATAGCGCATGTAATTATTGCTATTATAGAAAACATGTACAAAAGAAAAGCTTCCGTTTCATGTTAAGTCGAGTAAGGATAAAGGTGCGCTACAAACCAGAAACAAATGTAAACTTATTGGTGGAGCAAGTTTCTGTTTACAAATAAATGGCTGTTATATATTATACACGCTTCTTGGGATAATTCATGGTTATTACAATGGTTAAAAAATATTACACAATATCCTTAACTAATATGAATTTTTATTGTGAAAAGAGTTTATTTTGAGTGATAATAGTATCCGTGATGGCACAATAAGTTAAACCTGTTTTGTAAAGAACTTAAGAATAAGTAGTTTCACCACAGAAAGTCAATCGGTTTTTTTTTAAAAAGGAAGAGAACCAGAAAATCATAAAATTACAAGGAAGTAAAGTATAAGATTTTTCCACCCCTGGGAAAATATGTATGAACAGGCAGTACGCATCGCAAGAGAGGTAGACGATTGGCTTATTCCCCGTATGACATAGCTCAATAAATAAATAAATAATATTTAAATTTTGAGCCACAACAATTAAACGATGTTTTTCCCCATTTTGATTCTTTGTGTAGATAGAATTTGGAACGATTACAAAACAGTAATAAAAATAAATAAGTTATACAACAATGGTAATGTATTTTAAGAGGTTAAAACCATCGACCACATGGAGGTCAAAGTGAGACTCCAATAACTCCCAAATATTTTCTCATTCACGTTTATTGTCAATCAAATTACCTTGGCCTCATCCCGCACACCAAAGGTATCAACCATTTTTTATTCTCATTATTGTTATTCTATACTTCATCTGTATCCTTCATTACGCGTTTTTTCACCCTGGACAAGAGTCGATGTATTTTGCTTGATGTTAAAAAATCATCTGTTTCTATAGGTGTTTCTATGTGTTCTCTAATCCTTTTTTAGGAATCAGAGATCTATTGCACTGAATTTAAAAAGAAATAAAGAAAGAAAGAATGACAAAGAAATTGGATTGTCTAAAATTGCACCCAACTCAAATTAATTCTTGGTACAGTTGGCGTTTGTGTGCGTGGATAAACAATATAAAAGAAAGGAATAACTAATTGCCTTTCAATATTAGCAAAATCGTTGCTATTGTGGTGGACGATGAGGACTGTAGTGGTATATGAGTTTTGGTTAGGTGCAACTGTACTAATATTATTTTGTTTTTTTCGGCAGTTGCTTTGTGTTGGCAGTTTAATTATTTTCATGAAAAATGATAAAATGGTAAGAAATATAAAAACCTATAAGTCCAGTGCTATTTGATTATGTACTGGATCCGATTGTTTTGCGTGAGTGCGGGTGTGTGCGCAGAATGGTATCCTTTGATGTACCATATTCATTTATTTACGACCAAAACCGATAATTTCTTATGTATACCCATCCGCCAACTAGTCGAAAAGTTTAGTAGCAGTACTCCTAATGATTTGCACCAGTGCTTATTTCCATGTCATGTAAGACACATTAGTATAAAAATACGCCTTTCTTTTTCTTTTTCTTTTTCTTCAGCAGCCACTTGAATGTAAAGTATATCGACCAACTCGGGTGCATCGAAAACTGTAAAATAAATATGAAACTTTTCTTGCTAATTGCCTTGTAAATATTTTCGCAATTACATTTACCGTTCTCTACAAGAGCCTATTTGAAAACAAAGATAATATTTCTTGCTTTAATTAGAACTGTGGAGGCTCAATTAGCATGAAAACAATATTCGACTGTATAAGTATAATTTCTTGAAGACGTCGAGTATATCTGACTCTGGGTATCACATACAAGTACTCTGTTTTCTTCTTCTTTAAAATTAAATACAATAGAAGCTGTTAATAAAATAAGTTAATATAAAGAGTACATAATGATAGAAAAAAACAAATAAGTATTTCTATACTGTCAAATATATACACGGTTATGTCAAGTACTATCGTGGTTACTATTTGATTTTTTGAATTCAAGACATTAGAGTTACAAAGTACTTGTGGCGTCCATTATAATATCTTGGGTTGGTAATATAAAACGAAACACACTGGTATCGAGAGCTATATCATTACGAGAGAGTAAAATGCGTACTTAGTGATGTACTTTGGCGTACTTTCCCTGCCTACTTTAAACTCGTGTTTTAATAATGATTATCGTGTATTTCCGTACTGTGGTAATTAATATTATATATATACATATATATATACCAACGCCTTTTTTGTTAAATATCGAAATTGAAAGGGTTGCTCTAACAAAAAGATCAGATGATTGACTGTCGAGACTTGACCGAAACTTACAAACAATTAGTGTGCTAGATGTACAATTAATAATGATATTTATAATATTATAATCAATCTTACTCACGGGTATTTTAATCAAGATTATTACACCCAAAAGTATTTTACTCAAAAATATTAAAGGCACCCAACAAGTGTTGTACTTTTATATTGAACATTATTTGAATAGTAGTTAAAGCATTGCTGCCACGAATCGTCACGCATCGATAGCTAGTTAAACCCTTATTGTCATTATATTAAAAGAGATATATAGAATTCAATTTGTAATTCTTACTAATAGAGACTGTAAGCTTAGTAGAGTTAATTACATTGATAATAGACTGATATATCTCAATAACCAAGACCAAAAAAAATCGTATAAAACATATTTTTTTTTATTTTTATTATTGTAGATAAAGGTACTTCTTCTATTAGATTTCCTGAAACCGCCACACATAGTATACTTTTTTTTGCGAGAAGACAAACCTTTTCAATTCAAAGAAGAGTATGATACTGAGACACTACTATCGCCATTTGACAATAACTATCCGGATTAAAGTGAGGAGTCCAACGATGAGAATGAAGCTGACATTGTTGGTGTCATAGTATTTAAAGATACGATGGATTCAGGTATGCACCTATTGAACAAAGAAATATACATAAATCATATTACAGATAATAATGATACTTATCATAACACTTGCCTTTTTGTAATCCTATGTTTGAAAATGGATGACATTCATCAAGTCACTCAACTAATAGCTCTATTTGGTGTTATATTTCAAGCGTTTTGCTTGGCTCAAGCAAGGAGGATCTACAACACTGAAATTATTCCAATACTTTCTTGTTACCTATGAGAAGGATACTGATTCATATGTCACCGTTGATGTATCGAAAATAATGTCTGGATTCGATCTTATGACAAAACCGTCTTCAAGTACACCATCTGTATCAAACGTGATGTCATATACTTACCAGGGTATCATCAATCCAACTGTTCCTCCGAGAAGCACATTCCGCTCCATCTATCTATGCCAGTAATTCCCTGTATGCCAGACCAGCAATTGAGAAGCCAGTCCCTCTCATGGTATTTCCTTACAGCTTACTGAGAAAATATCTCGTCACAACATTTCCACAAAGTCAAGTCAGATGAGTAAATCGTGCACTAGGGGTCAAGCAAAACAATAGAAAGTACGATGACGGACGTATACGATGATGCAATCCAGACTGATATGCTCGGTGAAGCCGACGGGACCTTTGTAAATCATGCCAATTCTCTCATGTTGACATTGAATGTATATTGGTTTAAGCTGTTTGAAGGACGGATTTATACAGGCGGTGCTTTGTACTTACTTATCAGCAATTTCCCCAAGGAAGACCAAATGAGACCAGAAAATATTATCCTCGTTGATGTCATGCCTGGTCCAAAGGAAGTAGAGGACGACTAGATGGACGTATTTCTGGAAACATTTGTTGATGGGATGGTAGACTGTTATGGTGGTATAGCTGTGAGGACTACCAAGTTCCCTAATGGTACTACTGTCTATACTGCTATCATGTATGTCGCTTCCGAGATATCTGCTGCTAGAAATACTGCCGAATTCACAGAACATGGCATGTAAACACATATGGCTGTCATAAATTCAAATGATATATCCCCGTGATTACTGCATCAAGTAAGATCAATTACGTTTGGCGTGTCAATGAAAACTGGGAATCACGGACAGAAGAGATGATTTCCATATATGACAATATGTGGTTTTGCACAGAATCAGATGTAGAAAGAGAAAATTTGGAGAAGCAGAACGGCATGCAGTTTTCAGAGTTGCATCGCTTACATGATTGTTGATCTCACGCACAATATATTTCTTGTGATAGCGAACCGTATGGCCAGTGTTTGAAATGCCTTTGTATTTTTCCGCTGCTGTTATTGCTCGTATACAACGCTTTGCTGATGATATTCCTCTTCCTCCTGAATATACCGTCTTATTCGAAAAAGTCACGCCTTAGTTCCTATATATGAAGGCAGGTGAGTGGCGATCGTTGTGTCTGGTGCATTTTCTGGTGGTGTTGAAGGAGTTTTTGCCCAAAAGTGATTACAATAACTAGACCAATCTTGCCAAGACATGCCGAAAGTTGAAAGGTTCATTGAACAAGTACTTACATATAGACTACGCAGGCCAGCCCCTTGGTAAATTTGGGGAATAATGTCAGAGTATTTACGAAAAAAAGGAGTAGCACACCAAATATGCATTTGTGTGAGTTGATGCTTGACTTTGGTCTGGTCTTTACATTTTGGATGTATAACCTTAAGATACACAAGTATAAGTTAAAAAAAACATTAAGACAAACTACCGTAATGGTCTAGAGGTGACAGTAATGAGCGTTTTTCTGGAGAATGCGTTCACTGACACTTTTCTTACTGTGTATTCCATTAATCTTCTGCTGCGTATAATAATATTTTCCTAAGGCGTCGCGCAAGTGCTATCTGAATCTCATCTACCGTGTCTTCAGTGTATTGATAATGATTATCCTCCTGCATTGCCATTCGACCTCCCGATGTTCCAGCAAGTCGTCAACAGCCTATGGTACAATGTAATCGGAACTAAGACGTCGCCACCAACTACCATGCCATTGAAGTTACAAAATTTGAATACGATGAAGTATGATTACTCTTAATGGCTATTCAAATTCTATGTCAAGGCTTACCAGAATACTTTTCTTTCTGCGGCGTGGGGAGTATTTCACTTGGTGAGAATGTGCTGGTAAACATTTGCATTCAGAAGATGAAGAATATTTCGTTGCTTGGCCAGGAGTTTTTTAGTGAACAGAAGAAATATCGCAGCTCAATTGTGCGGGTTATGTTTTTTTTTGGTAGGATAGTTGACGACATCTCTAAATTCCCTGGTCAGATTGAGTACATATTTACTTGTCATCAAGATTGGTAGAATCAAGTGTCAACGTTTGGTTTTTTAAAAAGATTTGCGACATGCCATTCTGTCAGAATTAAGCCGTTAGTTGGGTAAGGTCTGAATTTGTGGGTGAGTGGGTTTATTAAGAAGAGTATTGCGTGCATCATCCCGGTGCATCGTCTGCATTCGTATTTCGGGTTGACTACGCACAACATCCAGGGTGGGATCCAAAAGCGCCTAGTCATCCCACTGCCTAGAAAAGTAGTCACGAAAAAAAAATAGAATGATATATATTACTAATATAAATAATTATAGTAAGAGTTTTTTTGACTGCGAAAGGGTTTGCCTTTATTTATCTCTCTATTTTTCTTTTGTTTTAGCATTACTTCTTTATCAAATATTTAAAATTATATTGAATTCTATTATCAACGAATAGTAAAAACCGTTATTTATTTTTATTGTTTTTATCAAAAGTATGAAAGACAAAATACCTGTATATTTAATACCCAATGCCCACCATTTTCTTAGCTTTTATCAAAATAAACTTACAGAGAGCGATATTACAATTTCCAACGAAAAAAAACCGTGGATAAAACAATCAAGGTTATATAATTAAATAATTGTTTTGTATATATATATATATTTCATTAATCGGCTGTAAAATAAAGTAAAATAAAATAAAATAACTATTTATTTATTACTTCCCATCTCGACATTACTACCGCATCATCTTTTATCGATTCAACCCACATCTTTCAAAACAATGAATAAAAATCAATAAAATACTATATACTCTGTACTTTTTTTATTATGCGGTGTGCTATTCCATGCAACAACACGCACCTTTCTCTCCTTCAAAAGTTCGACGTTTCTTGGAATAGCTGGACACTTGGAAAAGCTAATGACCTTTATTCTTTTTGATCATTTCTCCGTCCTTTTAACTTGCCAAAGTATTCTTTGATCTGTGTTATAATATCAACAATTAGGAATTCTAAATAAAAAAATGACACTCCTTTGTAAAAAGAAAAAAAAAATGTTAAAATTATTTAAACAAAAACCGTGGATTATACTTACTCTTATCTTTCTTGTTCGACAACGAGAAAACCGATTACGCCCAGCTAACTTTTCCGACATAGATTTTGCGCTGTGAATTTTATACGAAAGGTGTCTACGAGCTTTCTCTTCCACGACTGAAGACAAAACATACTCTACTTCAGGCTGCATATGGATGTAGCTCTGCACCATGCTAGCAATTGGACGGTTAGATATCGAGAAGGTACCCTCATCAATATTCAATGGCGTAGCTGTCATAACTGCTTGTGTTTGAGAACGGATCACACTGAAAAAAAGGGTGGAAATTACAATGCGCACAGTTTTTTGATAACAATTGTAAATGTGGGATAGTTTTCCATGTTCACAAGTTGAAAACACAGCTTTACTGTATTCTATTGGCTCGGATATAACAAGCAACAAAAGTTATTCTATTTATTATTATAAAGACTTTGTGAATGAAGTACATGTAGCACCTGTTTCCTTTTTCTCAATTTTTTTAACAAAAAACACAATGTTCTCAACCCCTCAACCTTACAATAAAAAGTGCTATTGCGCTGGATGTAGTCAGAACGAACTAGTCTATAGTTTTGTAGCCGGAAGAACTGCTCAGCGCCATAACAAAAGAGCAAGATTAGATGCTATAAGATGTGAAAGTGGTACGCAGTTTGTAGTATTATTCTATTATATTCTACTTTTTTTGTAGTTCAAAAAATAACATGTTTTAACAGAATCTTCTGCCCATAGAAATTCGATGGAGGTTGATGTTGAACGTAGGAAATATTTATTTAAATAAAAATAATAGAGCGTAATTATGTAACATATTCTAAATACAGCCATTTAAACATGTCAATCCAGAACCACGGAAGAAGAGTGTGGTCAGACCAACTTACTTGCTTGGGAAGGAACCCCAGTGTCTGACGATGAGAATGTTCCAGTTACGAATGAGGAGATTCACAACAGCAAAGACAATGGCGATGAAAACAAAGAAAACAATAATGAAGATGTTGTTAAGGTGGAGGTCGAGGAATTTGTTAATGAAGGTTGGTGTTGTGCTATGGAAGAAAGAAAAATTTGAAAAAAAGGGAGATGATTTTTTTTTTGGTTTTTTACAATAGATCCTTTTGCCCCCCCCCCCCCC